TATCAATTTTTGTACATTTGAATCACAAATATGTGTTTATTAGGCTAATAGAAAATTCTTCAAAATTTTGAACATTAAAATTATGCTGATATTTAACAATTGGATTGAGCAATAGTTAATTGTCATTACAATACATTTGTATTTTGTATTTAAGATTTCATCGAATAATACAAATGCAATATGTTTTTGCATATTCAATGTATTATATTCATAAAATTTAATTTTATGAATATAATAATCATAAAGAGATTATTATAAAACAGTTACTTTGGGTAATATTAACATTATATAAATATTTCTTAAAACTTTAATACATGATTATTTATGAAATATCTTATACATATTTTATTTATCCCTTTAATACATTTGAGTTTTATCCAGTTGGGTTATAATTTTATAACAAACTAGATGATTAAGTACTAAAAACAGGATGTAAATTAGCAAAATTTATGTTTATTTATTGATAAAAATTACCAACACCAATGATATTGTCTGCCATAGCTTATTTTTTCACGTAAAATACGATCATAACAGTTTTTAGATTGAAGTACAATAATTCAATGTGGTTGACAATTTGAATTATTAATTCTTACTTTAGTTTCCGTCAACGAAAATGCTGAATAAAATGAAAACAGTAATGATCACTTTCAATCATACGCTTCAAATCATTTCGATTTCCTCAGTTTTTCTGCTTTAGGAGTAACATATAAATTATAAAACAAATGGCAGAACATAATAACATATGTGAAGTATAACAGAAACGCGAAACAGAGAGATCTCGATGTCTGTTCACAATATTCGCCTTTTTGATAATTATAAAATGCTAAAATTGTTACAAAACATCCGGCAAACATTTGCAGGATCTGACTGATAGTAATACACATGGCAATGTATCTTGGTACGGAAACTTTCATTGCTTTCATTGCATAATAAGTATACATAAAACTATGTACAAAATAATTCATGGTGCAAAACCAATAACCCGTCGATATTTCATGAGCAACGTTGTACCAAGTAAATATTAATGTAGCAACATGATGATACCAGTGAAGGAATATCAATTTCTGTTTTCTTAATACGATAAAAAGAGTATCTCCGAATTCGAATACTTTTGACCACATAAATACGTAAAGCCAAAGTACAACAGGATGATTTTCTTTTGCAAAACTTATATTACATACAGAAAAATTGAATCCAAAATCTCTTAATACAATATATAAACCAGGTAACATTCTTACTGTTCCAAAAATACTAAATACAGCCAATAACAAATTCCATATAATTAGAGGACGTCGTAGATTAAAAGCCGGTCTGGACTTCATGTAATTCTGAAGTGAGAAGATAACCATCATGTATATAGCTGACCAATAAAAAGTTTGAGGCCAATTGTTTTTTATCCATATTAAATTTATCTGTTCGGTTATTGTCTTTTCTATGGGATATTGAGGATGAAGTCCTTTCTCGTTTCGAGCGAGAGAATAATTCATCGTCATTTTACCTGAAAATACAGTTTAAAAACTATATTAGTATTTAATTAAAAGTATTAAAATTCTTAAAATGTTAACTAAAATCGTTAATTGGCTTAACATCAAGCCTCTGAACATATCAAAACACCACAAAATTGTGTAAATTTGATGAGCTCAGGCTTTTTATATCCTGATTTCATCAGAGATGATAAATTTTCGTTAAGAAATAAAAGGAAACTCTTGTATGAAGGTTTTAAAACTTAACAAATTTTTAGATTTTCCTCAAGATTATTTTTAAAAACAATATTTTTTAAATCTATAAACTTAAAAAATCGATGTACGTACTGTATATCACACAAACACTTTATAATATTAATTTAATTCAGATAATGATAAAATTACTATTGATGATATAACTTATTTCTAAAAATTATAATGATTTTGAGTTTTTCTGTTAAGATTGGCGATATCAGTGCTTAGAATGCTTATTTTTGCTTATATAAATGAAGTCTTTTTTCTTATTTACAATTTAAAAGTAAATTTTATTATGNCCCCCATGTGGGCGTTTTTCCATGTTCAGGGGGCGATTAGTAACAATTTATATTTTGGGGGCGAAAAACAATTTTCTGGGCGATATAGTAAAACATTATATTAAGAATAATTAGATATTTTATTCGTTATATCGTACAATAATCAAACAAATAACATTATACTAGTTACTAGTCTACTCGATGTACGAATTTGGGGTTAGCCTTGTCCCTCGGCATTGGAATTTTGTAGTGAAGGGGGCGATACTACGTAACGGTTTTATTGAAGGGGACGATACTACGTTGAAGGGGGCGACGATTCGTTAGAGGTTGAGAAACACTGGTTTAAAGCTAAACAGAGGCTAAATAAAAATTGCAAACTGTTTTCTATATTCAAGTTATATTATAAATTGTTTCCTACAGATAAATAATATTCAAGTTTCTTCTATATTACATGTAAATAAAATTATTAATAAACACCATAAAAAAGTTATGCGATACAACTCGTTTTTTATCATGTAATTTGTATGAATTAGTTATTTATATACTTTAAAAATATTTATACACTATTTTTAATTATAACTTATAAAAGAACGTTAATTAAATGATAAAGGATTTAAGCGGTCCCATTAATCATATTTTACGAAAATCCTGTACAGGGCCGCACAAGCTTTCATATAGGACAAGCTTGCACGAGCCCTGTATAGGACTGTCTGTAAAATATAATTAATATCACTATCAAAACTGAAATTAAGAGAGTTTGATTTCAATTTGATAGTAATAAAAAATAGGAATTTATGGTATATTTACACTAATCCGCAGGGAGCGCAAAAATAGGATCTGCAGGCAGGAGCGAAATGCCCTAGTGGGGCGATGTTGATCATAATTTGAAATTGACAAATGTTTATTGAAAATACACTTCAATCTTATTTAACTTATAAATTTAATATCATTTTGATAACTAAATATATCGCCGCAAAGCGGTGTTTTTTTGTTTGGTGAACCTTCGTCAAGTGACAAACATACCGATTTTTTAAAACATAGCAACGAGTTACTTAATTTTCCCCCAAATGTTCATAACAGATCGCTGTCTGTTATGATATTTTATTTAAAAACGTTTAATATAATTAATTATTAAAAAATAGCAAAAAGTTTAATTTTCAGGGTAGAGATGAGTTTTATATATAAAAAAACAAAAATACCTGTAAATGCTAAACGTGAATCAGCCTGAGCTGGAAAGGACCGTTAGATGAAAGAGATGAAAGTAGATATGTGATTAACGTATTAATAACGTTAGAATTAAGAATAATTAATAAAGTTTGCGAAAAAGTAAAATAAAATTATTTATGATAAATATAGTATAAAAACGTTTTTAAAATGTAAAATGTAAAAGCAAACCAGATGAAAGAGATCAGATCAATGTCTCAATTCCCAAGTTGTAGTCACATGTCTTCCTCCATCCCTTTCATCTAGATTGGGGATGGCGAACCTTTTTGAGCTCGCGTGCCATATACTAAACATACTTAGATTTAAAGATGCTTATGTGTGCCAAAGTTTTAGACTTCGAATAACGATATTTAAAGAAATTGAACGAATATGCTTTAATTAGAAAAAAATGTAAAAAGCTAGCTGAAAAAAAGGATGATCAGGTGATAAAGCAAATAATGATTGAAAAAGACAGATGATAAATCAAAATCGCATTATACGTTACGTGGAAGATTATTTCTTCTCACGTGTCCCTTTGGGCACGCGTGCCATAGGTTTGCCACCCCTGATCTAGATCCTTCCAGTTCAGCTGACTCATGTCTACTCTTTCGCTGCGCAGGCTATAATATTTTCAAGAGAATCGTCAGTTATTTTACCCGCGCGACAATATAAGTAAATATGCTATTAATTAAAAATAATAATAAAACTAACTTTTAAATAGATTCAATAATATGTATAAAACAATTTGTAGATGTTTTTCATGCGATAAAAAGCTAATCATTATAAATATCGAATATGTCCTTTAGCACTGCACATGTATAACAAATATAAAGGAAAGGTTAAAGTTTTAAAAGGATGAGTAAAAAAGAAGTGAGAATGAATTTATTACTTACGAAATATATTAGGCAGTATCTAGGTTGATATGGCATTTTTGAAATAGTCTCTATCGTGTTATATGCAGCCAATGTACAGCGAGTTACTTAATTTTCCCCCAAATGTTCATAACAGATCGCCGTCTGTTATGATATTTTATTTAAAAACTTTTTATAGTTTTAACTATTATAAAATGGCAAAAAACTTAATTTTGAGGGTAGGGATGGGTTTCATAAAAAAATTGTAAATGCTAATAACTAGTAAAATCGACATTAAGTCCGACTCTACTGGAGATACACACGATTCTTTTTATCTCCCCACTCCTCGACCTTTAACCACCAAAATTTAAGAGCACCAATAACCCTAATAAACAAATATCCCTACAAAATTTCAGAAATTGTCAACAAAAAGCACAGGAGTTATTACGCTTCAAATAGATTGAACAAAATCGTGTCCTCACACACGCTCATTAACATCCATACATACAGAAGTTACCTCCAATTTATTTTGCATTGCTCGACGTTTTAAGGTGTCCTAAGTTCAAAAATTTTTAAATCTTGGAGGGGATCATTTTTTGACCGATCGACATACATCTGTTATACATAACAGCCGGGAAAGTAAAAATGTTAGATTAGTTCAAGTTCCAATTGTCATATAAACAGAATTGTCAATTTATTGAGTAAATATTAATACAATAAAATGATTGTTTACTTATATTTGCTCACATATTCCTTTATTAAGTTTTATTAAAAATTCATGTTTATAAATTCATATAATAAAACTGTTTACTTAAATTTCCTAAATTTAAATATTTCATCAATGTTTTTAATAATCGTGTTCAATTAAGGAAAAAATTAAACCAAAAATAAATTTAAAATTGAATTACGTAATGCCTGATATAAGGTTATTTGCGTAATAATTGGTATAATTATTATGAAACTTAGACTATAATCAGAAATTTACTGTATAATTCTGTTATTTCGTATATAAAGGTGAAAAATAATTTTAAAATGTTTAATACGTTATTTTTTTATTTACAAATTTAAAATCAATCGTAACATTGAAAACTATGATTCGAATTGTTAACAATGTTTGAAATTGATAATCAGTCTTAACATAGACTATAGAAATATTTCGGAAATATATTTTTAATGTAAATTTCCTCAAAGCACTTTCATTGAGTACAGTAGTTTTTAAATATTTTTGTAAACAAAAACAAACAAACAGATGCATGCCAAAGTATATGTTTATCATTGACGTTCGTAATATATGTTTATTGTAATTATAAATGTAATTAATAATAAAATAAATAATTATAATATAAAAGACAAAATTAATACTCGTGTAGAGTGTCTAAGGAAGTTCGAATTTTTTTATTAGTTGTTAAAATCGTAAGGAAAAAAATATCTAAAAACGCGCAATTATTTATTGTGAATTTGTCACAATACCGAGCTGCAATTTTTAATCATATTTTTAATTTAAAATACATATATTTGTTTACATATTTTATACATATATTTTATGTTCTCCACTTCAAATTAATAGTGTCTTGCCCCTGTACAGTATATCATACTTTTCCGTTAACAGTTAACAATACAGTCGTGCTGGTGATCCATCTTACTCCATTCGGAGAAAAATTTTAATTAAAATATATCGGAGCCTCGTGCCCCTAAGGTTTCCGTATCTCGTCTCGGATTTCATCTAACTCCTTCCTCGAGATTAAGGAATGGCAGTCAGAAGGACGACAGTGGGAATTTACAGGTCTACAATTTTTTCAAATTGCAGCCCAATAAATTGCATTACGAGATATATGAATGATCTTTTACATAGTTCTGAACATAATCTCACATTTTAATATTTATAATGTTCATTGGCACACAAGATAAAATATTTTCTTTTAAACTGAAAATTATTTTTTTTTGTCATTGCTAAAACCTTTGATGCAAGATTTTGCAATTTTTTTTCCAGTCACCGATTGTTGTTTAAAAAAATTAGGTTATATCAGGCCTACATATAAAGTTTTTATGTATATATAAACAAAATAAATAAATAATTAATGTTTGCACAATTAAGAGGGCCGTAGAAAGGCAGAGGTAGAGAGGCATGTACTGTATCTAGAGCGCCTTGATGATGGGGTGCCTAAATTCCAAAATTGTTATATGGGAGAACTAATAAATTCATAGAAAACTGTCACATACAGGTATAAAAAATTATATTATAAAATGTAATAGGCATTATATTAATAAAAAGTGTTTTTTCTTTTAATTATTATTTGTAACAGACTAATAAAAAAATATCCAAAAGGTGGCGTATTTAAGTTTCTCCCTGGTACTGAATATCCTAACCAAGGCCTGGCACTTCAAAAGCTATGTAAAACAGTATAACTTATACATATTAACTTAGTTATCTCATAACGTTCATGATTTTGTTATCTGATTTCACTTAAAATATGTTTAAATTAATAAAAGGTCAACAAAAATTAAGTTTTCTAAAATTTACATATTAAAAGAAAACAATCTCGATTAACAATACTTTTAGAAATTTTACGAATATTCGAAAACAAGTANAGATTGTTTAAATTATATATAGCCTATATATAATTTAAAAAATATGGAAAACTGCAATCATTTTATTTATATTTGTAGAAAAAACATCCTTTTATTTTGTATTAATATTTGTTTTAAATTTTATAACAAATACCTGCAATATAATAAGATACATTGTAAATTATATCGAAGTGTATTTTTACATTTTGATATAATTTACTTTATTCTGTTTTACACTTGGAAAGAATTTTTTCAACTTACTTTTAAAAATTTTTAATTTTATGCAACTCTATAAGCTTTAAAAGTAAATGATTTTAAAAATCTATTTTTTTTCTTTTAAGGTTATGTAACTAAAGTGTTTTTTGTGTATTCATTTTTTATTATTTTTAAATAAGTTACATTTAATATTTAATAATATATAACTGCACCCTTTAATCAATGTTTAAATTTTATTCAAAAATTAATGACTAAATAATTCATTTAAAAAATAACCCAATGTTTTTACATTATTAAATACTTTTATTAAAATATTGTTCATATAATTGCAGAGCAATTATATGATATCTGTAATATAAATAGTTCTCGATTAATCCCTTTCAGTCAACATATTTTCATTTTAATGCTATTTATTTATTATAGACAACTTTTGATTATATGTATTATTTTTTTTGATAGAGCGAGTATATCCCGGATATTCGATAATATTCGATGAATCCCAGAATGGTCATTAAAAAGAGCTATAAGGAGAGTAACCAACTCTCTTTAATGTCTCAACTTATCCCGAGACTAACTTTGAATTGGTTGCCATGTTATTTATTTGAAGTCTTTCGAACCTTTCAAGTAATTATCACTGACTGATTCAGTGTTTTTAAACGTCACCATGGATGGCAAATGCATGACGGTGTTAACAATTCAGGAGATAGAAGACGCGAGCTACAAGAGTTTCCAGATACTAATACTTGTACAATCGGGAGCTCATTATTTATATCTCGGGCGTTGAATATATAAATATAAAACGAATGCAAATAGATCGAGGATCAGAAACACATTCAACTATTATTATATAAATTTTTATAAGACAGATTTTCACTTAACACTTCTTCAAGGAAGCGTATCACGGTGCTAAACTTAGAAAATTTGCAAGTTTGATTAACTAGGAGGGTTTTTTTTTATAACTTCTTGTTTGCTATAAACATTATCTATAAGCTTATATAAATTTTAACAATTACAATTTTATTGAACATAACAGAATTATTAATAGTAAAACTATATTTTCATCAAATAATTTTTACGTTAATACGTTTACATTACTAATTTTCTAAATACAAGTAGAAGATAAATCTGTATCAATCTCAAAAAATATTAGTTTTAATAAAAAAATTTTATTAAGGAAAACGTTCTGATTCTATTTCCATTTTAGAAATAAATTTATTTTCTGTTTTTTATAACATAATTTTAAATGTATTACTTTTATTATTATTGTTGTTATTATTATTATTATTATATTCAATAATATAATTCACTTAGATCACATGCTTGTTATATTTCTTAACTCTATTTTAAATTTTGCAATAATGGAAATAGCTTTAATTCATGAAAAAACCTACATTTTCTTAAAAACATTTTTTTCCCCTTTAAAGTTATTCAAGAAAGAAAACACTTGTAAGAAAATTGGGATCAACCATGTGTCATACAAGCGTTTATTAGATCAACGGGTGTTAATTTAAAACCGGTCTAAAATTGAAAAATACAAATTATATAACTTCTAAATCAAAATTTTATATACAGATTATTACATAACTAGTTAAATTATACTAAAAACCACTAATTCGAAATTCTATCTACTGATTTAATAAAAATATTTTAAAATAAAGTATTATAATAAATAAATAAATAAATATAATTCTTCATGCACACATACAGACATTGAATTATCGATTTTTTAATATTCGTTATTTTAATTTTAAAAATATTATAAAAATTTTCCTGTTTTGGCTGCAATTCAGAGAAAGGTAAAAGTTAAAATAAAGCTCGTCAAACGAGTTTTAAAGGAAGTTTATCAAGCCAACAATCTTATTTGTCTTTTTGCACCACGTGACACAAAAGGTACGGGTAAAATTCTATAGTTTCATTGGTTAATACGTGTCTAAGTTTTATAGGTTTAAATCATACAAGTCATATATATTATTTGTCTGAATTTCATAAGGTTAGTTTCTATTATTTAGTTCTCTTAGATATAAGGTAAGTTTTTAAATAAAAATGTAAATGTTTAAGAATTCTTTCCGAATAAATTTGAATATTTCTTTAAAGTTAATTATTTAATATAAGATAATAAATTATAAGAGAATTTCAACAGTAAATTAAAATTAATTTTCTTGTATGTTTAAAAAATTGATTTAACGTATAAAATTGATAAAATTGTATAAATAATTTTAATATTTATGTAAAATGTAATTGTTTACAATATTGAAACATTTTAATGAGCAATGATGAATAACATATAAACATTTTTATTACAAATTTATTTATAAGTATTTAAAATTGTAATATCTAAATTTTCAATTGTTTTAAAAATTAATATGTTAAAAATTAAATTTAAAAAAAGAGAAATATAGATATTAAGTTTGAAAGCATTATAATTTATACTAAAATATAAATAAAATTTTAATTCAATTTTTAAAAAAGTTTTATTAGAAAGTTGTAAATTCAAATAGCTGCTTGTTTTATACATCTATATGATCACCTTGAATTTTTTTGAAGTAAAATTTATAGCTTTAGAAGTTATTATATGAAAAAAAATTATAAATAGATAACATCTAATATATACGTATATATATATTGAAAATAGACAAATTTTATCGATAACTTCAAAATTTCCTTGTATATTCAAGGTTATTTTACATGGGATTGTGATGGTAAATATGATAAATCAAAACAGGAAACATGCAATACTAGCTCTATAAAAAATAAGTAATCATATATACATATAATTAATTCAAATACGTAAATAATTTATATATACATTTAACACATTCTAATATATATATATGTAACATATTATATTATGTATAGGTCTATATATACATAATATAATGTGTTACACTACACTATGGATATATATAGGCTATATAAATGTCTATCCAATTTCTTCATTTACTAAAAATATATAATATATACGAATAATTTTATTGCATATTTTTAATATTATCTGTGTTATTTAAATAAATGTTTCAGTTTTTCATTTTTTTCAACAGCAAAATTTATATGCAATAGAATTTTGAAGTAAATCTTATTGGATTAATTGATGATTTTCTATATTGTCAGCATTGGCGTAATTATTTTTTTGAGAAATTCCCCCAATTTCGTTATTGTTTGAGAAATTTCCCCTTCATTAAATTACATGTACTTAAAGTTGAAGGGAAAAATTATATTTTAGTTTTGAATATACGAGTGCATTCGATAATCTGATTACGAAATAAATTTGTTATATTTTTATATGTTTTTCTGTATGTTAATTTCTATTAAATATATTTACTGATTTTGTAAGGGTTTAAGTTTAAACTCATTTTATATTAACCTATTTAAGAAACACTGTTAGCTAAGAGAATTATTCAATGAGGAAAGTTAAATAAATAAAGTTTATTGTATCACCGTTTTGCATCAAGTGGTCTATAAAGTTGGAAGGCCCCGTCCTCATTTCAATTGACCTAATTTCTATATTGAAAATATTAATTTTTATATAAAAAAATTATTTACTTAAGCATAGAATATGTTAAACATTCTTAAAAAGTTGTTCCCATATACGCAATATTATATAGGGTATATATAAAGTCTACAAGGTGAATGAATGTTTCACGCAATACAAAATCAGTTTTCTAATTAAATTTTAGGTTAGGTTATTAGCACTTATATTGTTTAAAGATATCGTTGGTTTCTGACTTACAACAGTAAGTCTATATAATAATCTCATGCTGAGAATGTTACCTGATTAATTAACGAATAAATCAGGTAACATTCTCAATTGCAGCTAACATTGATAAAATTGTATAAATAATTTTAATATTTATGTAAAATGTAATTGTTTACAATATTGAAACATTTTAATGAGCGATTAATTAACGAATAAAAATTTAAATTTAAAAATTAAATTACGTATATAAAATATTACAAATTTGTAAAACGAAATCTGATATTTTCCGACAGAGAATAAACAAGTAAACAAATGTTAAGAAAAATATTTAACTATACTAAATTGAAAATAGTATATGTATATCCTCAAAGGAAACCTAAATTTTGAAACATATTTTTCCTTTAGTGAGTAAGGTTGCTGAACTACTATGTGTTCACTGAGAAAAAAAAGGAACTTTGATTACATTATTATGATATACTATATATTAAAAATATATTAAATGTATTATTATTAAAATATATTAATTATATATTCTCATTAATAAATTTTATGATTTTCAAAAATAAATGAATTAATATTAGTGCTGAAAACTTAAAATATTTACTTATATTTTTAATGTAAATATAAATAAATTATAAATTTATTTTAGATATAATAAACAGAGAAAATGTCAAGTAAAGCCGAAATTTCGCACCCATCGACACTGTTCTTTGAGAAAATTATTAATTCTAAAGATTCATCAGCATGGTTCTTGGAAAATCGTTATTTGATTTTATACAGTAGCGTCGTTTATATGATAATTGGTTATATATGTCGCAATTATATGAAGACTGTTCCACCCATCAATCTTCGTCGCATTTTATTATTATGGAACACAGCTTTTGCTGCAATATGTCTTTTTGGAGCATCTAGAATGGCTTCTGCAATGTATTATATTCTTCAAAAAACTGGCTCCGAAGGGTCTTTGTGCAAAGATCTGCATTCTGTAGCTCCTCAAAGTGCAATTTTCTGGGTATGGTTGTTTGTTATACTGAAGTCATTTCAATTAGCTGACGGACTATTTTCTACCTTCAGAAAGAAAGAATATGCTTCTTTTTATAGTTATTATCGTATGTGCATGATGGTGTTGGCCTTCTATACTTACGGTCTTCATCCATCTGAAATATTATGGTACGCTATTGCCGATTATGTCATTAATGTAGCTGTATACGGTAGCTACACATTGAAAAGCTTAGGAATTCGAAAGCCACGTTCGTTAACTACAGCTATCATAATGGCGCAAATATTTAGAATAATTCTCGACTTTTTGATTACGGTAAAAGCTATAGATTTACAATTAACAGGTTCAAAATGCAATATGTCTGCTGGATGTGCATTTTTTAATATATTTTTATACTTTTCATTCATAATTATCTTCTGTGGTTATTTTTATGATGTTTTATTTGTCGGAAATAGAAAGGATAGAAACACATCTGTAAAAATATTCTTGAATCTTGTAGATAAATTTATTCTTTTCTTAAAAACATTTAATACTTTGTACCAAGGCGAGGATGATGATGAATTAAAAGATATGTAAATGATAATAATCAAACATGCTGTGATAGTTACACATAAGGCAAGAATTTAATATTGCTGTATTAAAAATCAATGATTGTTATATTGTGTATCTGTAAACTTTATACTGATAATAATTAATGAATTTTGAAAGAAAAACTATGCTTAATGATACACTTTTGGTTCCAAGTGCTTAGCATTTGTAATGTATACTTTTACCTTAGATTAAAAATACTTATCTAAGTGAAAAGCTATTTAAAATATATACGCATACTTTTTGTTATAAATATTAATCTTAAAATTGTTTGATGATTCCATAGTTGTTTTTTATAGTACAAATTAAATTTAGAGTATGGAATAACTCAACCTTGAAAAATTATTTCTGTAAAGCCATTGACCAATGGGCCAATAACCTACTCGTTTCAAATGAACAATTTTTTCGTGCGATAATTTGTTTTATTTCGTTAAAACAAAAAGCAAATAATATTTGTAAATTTTTTGTCTGATATTTGAATGTTTTTATGAAAATAAAATATTAAAAAAAATAAATAAATTGTTTAATAAGATAATAGAATAAATGAAAGTAGAGTGCTAAATAGACCAAACAAAAATTCGAAATAAAGAATATATAGAACGAATATTATTAAGTGTTTTATATGAATATAAATAATGTATTCGGTATTTTCAATGTATAAAAATGAAAAATAAAAATTGATAATTCATTTAGATGTTTCTAAAATTTATTTGCATTATGTATCTAATGTAATTTTTTGTTGATCGATAAATAAAAATTATAAATAAATCATATAAAACTCCAGTTATTGATACATTTAGAATATTTATGATTTTAGATATGCAATAAAAGATACAATTAAATATTTAGAAATTTTAAACTGTGGTTTAGTTAAGCATTAACTAATTTGCTATAATGTTAATAGATTAATATTTGATTATTGTCTGTTTTAATTTGTTAATCTGATTATGCAACTGTTAAGGACTACCAGGAAAAAGATAAAATCTGTCTCGAGCGAAAATCATCAATTTTAAAATGAAAACAGCGTATTTAATATCGTCATTGAAGATTTATTTAAAATTTATATGTTTACAAATAATACAATACTTAAAAGAAAAAATATTAGTTATTAATACTTTATGAAAAGTTTTTTATGGTTTATATATATACAGTACATAAATTTTTAAAACACAATTCTTGAAGTAGAAAAGAGAATATAATATTAAAGAAATACTTTTTTTTATAAAAACTTATCTAATAATTATTCATTCATGTTTTAAAATAATGTTAATAATAATGACTATCAGGAAAAAAAAATTCTTTTGATTTAGAGTTTTAGACGAAATTATGATGCAATGAAAGTTGCTTTAAATTACTAAATTACAGTCTTTTCTCTTTAGAACAGTAACACCAGATTTCAAAATTAAATGTTTGTTAAAATGTTCATACATCAATTTCAAAAACTACTCCTTAAAACACTGTAGTTGATTTTAAATTTGAAATTTCAATCAACTAAAGCTGTATCTGTATAAGTTAGAACATTATTGAAATTTAAATTACATATAACTTTATATCGGTATTTAAAAGAGTGATGTTTAATACATAATAATTAAAAGCATAGTTTAAAACCGAAAAAGATTAAAATTAGATTAACAATATTTTACTGCTATAAATCATTTCTTAACAGAACGAATCAAGATCCTTTAGATGATGGAATACTGATTTAGAAAAAAAATCATAAGGTATATTTGATATTTAAATAAACTTTTAAGACTTTTAAAACTTTTTAGATAAATTATTTGTAAGTTATTTATAGGCTTGAAAAATTGCTTAAGTTCAAATAAACTGGTATGACAAGTAACAGAGCAACTAAATTAACAATCAGCAAATTATTGCTTTGGGGAATCTTGACTCAATCCGTTCTGAATAATCTGGCTTTCTTTCTTAAGACTAATCAGGATTTGAATTTTTTTCTATCATTTATTTATTTATTTATTTTTGTCCAGTTTAAGTTCTTTCTGTCCTGTGGACCTTTTAATTCTATCCATCGTGGATTCGGCCAGGCTCACAATAGGGGCGACCGGGTGATGAAGGACGGAACACAACATATGCAAGACGGTTTCCCGTTATTACATGGGATAACAGATTCAGCTGTACAATACTTGGAGATCAGGAGTGTTCAGTAACTATTGCTCCGTTAAAGAAGACACAAAAGATTCCTAAATTTTTAAAGAATTATCCTGGGGTTTTTTATTCTTTACCTGTGGTAATTTCTCCCCCGATAATTTATCTTTGACAATTCTTCCCCGCATAACTTTTCCCTAGACAGTTCTTCCCCGGATAAATCTTCTCCGAACAATTCTTCCTCGGGCAGATTTTCCCCGAACAGTTCTTTCCCAGACAATTTTTCCTCAGATTTATTTTGAAGTAACTTGTGAAATGTTACTCTGATCGATTATTTCTATTACAGGTATTATACCTGGTTATGTCTGAATAATTATTCCCGCAGACTGTTGTAAATTAAGACAAGCGAATTTTATAGAGAAAGGATTTATTTTTATTTTAATATAAACATTCGATAATATGAATTTAAAAATATTAAAATTAAAAAAAATTATTATTAGATTTCTTCAGGGCCATTGAAGTCATGTACAGGACACGGGGTAAAGCTTGTCTTTTTTGCCATTATTATTATTTTTATTTATTTACTAGCTATTACTCGCGGCTTTTGCAAGCAAACCCCATTTATATTCAGTATTTCAACAACCATAGTAATTGTTATATAACACCTACTGCTGGAAATGATGAGAATTGCTGAGAATCAAACGAACTATTTTCAATTTGATCAATTTTCTGGAACGTTTACAATCGTTCTATAATCGAACCAATATGCAATAACAAATTCGAATATAAAACGGTTCGAACATTTTAAAAATCGAAATAGATAAAAATATTTATAACAATGTCTGAAATGTTATTAATTTAATACACCTAAGTACTAGATGAAGACTAAATCCTCTCCCTCTCCCCCCGCGGCGTAATTTCGAAAAATCCCTTCTTAGTGTGCATTCTCATGGCATACCCTACTAAAACGCAGATAAAAACAAAAAATCGCATCTAAAATAGTACAGTAGAAGCCATTCTTCCGGTTAAGCCTTAATCCTTCCCTCTCTCCCCGCAGGGGAATTTCGAAAAATCCCTTCTTAAGGCTGGTATACACGGTAAGGAAATCCTTTGAGGATTAACCGTGATTTTTTTTTCTATCTATCCATTTTTAAATAAAAATAAACCTTTATACGTTGGAAGATATTTTAATAAGTTTTGTAAATTACTATGTTCGATCCAGCCAGTTATATCCGAGTTTTTTTCGTCTGTTAAGCACATCCTTTGAGGATTTCCTTACCGTGTATACCAGCCTTTAGTGTGCGTTTGCATGACGTACCCTAAGGGTGCGACTATGCAGACGCGAATTTAGAGCGAGCGAGAGGTTGCGAGCGATTTAGTTTTCGCAAAGGAAGACCATGCACAAACGAGAAGCGAGAAATAACGCTGTCGAGAGCGAATTTCTGGTTCTCGCACATATCTGACAGGTTTTGATATTTATCATGTCTCGCCTCTTCTCGCCACATATTCTCGCTCGCTCGCGTCTGCATAGTCGCACCCTAATTTAATTACGGAAATCCTCAAAGGATGTACTTAACAGACGAAAAAAATCGGATATAACTGGCTGGATCGAACATAGTAATTTACAAAACTTATTAAAATATTTCCCAACGTATAAAGAATTATTTTTATTTAAAGGTGAATAGATAGAAAAAAAAATCACGGTTAATCCTCAAAGGATTTCCGTAACATGTATAACTGTCTACCAAATTTCACCTCTTTAGGTTAAGCGGTCTGCTCTGGGCGATGATGAATCAGTGAGTGAGTGAGTCATTCAGTCAGTCAGTCAGGACAAACAATTTTATATATTTAGATTTATTTTTGAACAAATGAAATACGTTAAATGTTTCTTTATTAATAAAAAGCTTTATAGATTTTATTTTCCGTACGTACCACTCCGGATCTGGAGAGAAATCTTCAGCTCCCCTCTCAACAGTCCTGGGTCATTTAAACGTTTAAAGCAGTGTTTCTCAACGGGGGCGATATCGCCTCCATGTGGACGTTTTTCCATGTTCAGGGGGCGATTAGTAACAATTTATATTTTGGGGGCGAAAAACAATTTTCTGGGCGATATAGTAAAACATTATATTAAGAATAATTAGATATTTTATTCGTTATATCGTACAATAATCAAACAAATAACATTATACTAGTTACTAGTCTACTCGATGTACGAATTTGGGGTTAGCCTTGTCCCTCGGCATTGGAATTTTGTAGTGAAGGGGGCGATACTACGTAACGGTTTTATTGAAGGGGCGATACTACGTTGAAGGGGGGTGATACTACGTAACGGTTTTATTGAAGGGGACGATACTACGTTGAAGGGGGCGACGATTCGTTAGAGGTTGAGAAACACTGGTTTAAAGCTAAACAGAGGCTAAATAAAAATTGCAAACTGTTTTCTATATTCAAGTTATATTATAAATTGTTTCCTACAGATAAATAATATTCAAGTTTCTTCTATATTACATGTAAATAAAATTATTAATAAACACCATAAAAAAGTTATGCGATACAACTCGTTTTTTATCATGTAATTTGTATGAATTAGTTATTTATATACTTTAAAAATATTTATACACTATTTTTAATTATAACTTATAAAAGAACGTTAATTAAATGATAAAGGATTTAAGCGGTCCCATTAATCATATTTTACGAAAATCCTGTACAGGGCCGCACAAGCTTTCATATAGGACAAGCTTGCACGAGCCCTGTATAGGACTGTCTGTAAAATATAATTAATATCACTATCAAAACTGAAATTAAGAGAGTTTGATTTCAATTTGATAGTAATAAAAAATAGGAATTTATGGTATATTTACACTAATCCGCAGGGAGCGCAAAAATAGGATCTGCAGGCAGGAGCGAAATGCCCTAGTGGGGCGATGTTGATCATAATTTGAAATTGACAAATGTTTATTGAAAATACACTTCAATCTTATTTAACTTATAAATTTAATATCATTTTGATAACTAAATATATCGCCGCAAAGCGGTGTTTTTTTGTTTGGTGAACCTTCGTCAAGTGACAAACATACCGATTTTTTAAAACGTAGCAACGAGTTACTTAATTTTCCCCCAAATGTTCATAACAGATCGCTGTCTGTTATGATATTTTATTTAAAAACGTTTAATATAATTAATTATTAAAAAATAGCAAAAAGTTTAATTTTCAGGGTAGAGATGAGTTTTATATATAAAAAAACAAAAATACCTGTAAATGCTAAACGTGAATCAGCCTGAGCTGGAAAGGACCGTTAGATGAAAGAGATGAAAGTAGATATGTGATTAACGTATTAATAACGTTAGAATTAAGAATAATTAATAAAGTTTGCGAAAAAGTAAAATAAAATTATTTATGATAAATATAGTATAAAAACGTTTTTAAAATGTAAAATGTAAAAGCAAACCAGATGAAAGAGATCAGATCAATGTCTCAATTCCCAAGTTGTAGTCACATGTCTTCCTCCATCCCTTTCATCTAGATTGGGGATGGCGAACCTTTTTGAGCTCGCGTGCCAT